CTTTTTGGGTTGGGTTTTGGTTTTGTTCTTTGCCTTGTTTTGGGTTGTGAGGGCGGGGGGGGGGGGGGGGGGAGTTGGTTTCCCCTGAAATAGTTGTCCCTTTTGGCTTATAAACGTGCCGCGTGCAGCAGTTAAATAATATTCCGCTGCCCCTCCAGCCATGGCTCTGGCAACAAAGCGTATTAATGTGTTGCATACTTTTGTGCGCTGTGGCACAATCTAATTACGAGAATATCTGCCACAGCCAGTGGACAGCAGGACAACCGACTGCTGTTGTTGTATTGTGATTTAGAGACAATTACGCAGAATATAATTAAGTCGTTGAAGCGTTTAAGCAAAAGTCAAGCAGAAACAAGCAGCAGCGGCAGCAGCAAGGACAAAAGTCTGGCCAGAGTCCTGGCCACAAATGAAGTTTGTTTTGTGCGGCACAACATGTCCTCGGGGCCAATGAGAGACAGCCAGCGCGATGCCCTTCGTGGCGCAGCGGGTATTGTGCATTTGATGAGTGTCTTGGCAAAGAGGTCTCTCCTTTTGGCTCGTTGAACACCTGTAAGGAGGCTGCAAGGAGACCCCTCCCTTTGGAAAGGGTATCCTCCAGACACAACATTTATTGTATTTTGCATTTGTCACTCATTAGGGCTTCATCGAGGACTAAAACAGGGCCCATATATCCCCGAATCTAGCCCCGAAAGACTCTATCAATGTCAGATTGATAAATGGCATCTCGTTGGCCTCTCTCTTTCCCGCATGGAAGGCCCATAGACTGCTTAATTATTGCATATAATTATGTGGCTGAGATTGGGGCCAGGCGAAACCATAAATCGAATTGCAGTTACCCTTCTTAGTCTTCGTAGACCACACACAAAAACCACTCTCATTCTTGGCCCTAACAAATTGCTCTCCAATTGGTCATGGCCCATTTAGTTTTGGCCCATTGGCCGGCTCCCGCCTGCACTGGTCCGTTCCTTGTTAGACCCTTGTTTGCCTGTCGCTTTAAGCTGTCCGAAAATAGGTTTTTCATTTATCCAAATTGTTCGCTCCACAGCCATTGTTTTTGCCTGTGCCCCGCCACAAAAGCTTCACTAATTAATTTGATATTTTTTTCTCCTCCTCTCCGCTCCTCTTCCCTGCTCTTACGCTCCTGTTAAATAGCAAAAATTAATGCCAAGGCAACACATTGCGGCGCGTTGGGGCTGCGGCTGCGGTTTCTGGGACGCCGAGAGGCGTTTCACCGATAAGAAGGCGCTCAAATGGCTCATAACATTTTGTGCCTCCTTTTGTTCTAGGTACATTTTTTTATGGACATTCCAAGGCACGGACAAAAAACAGGAGAAGCGGAAAAATTAATATCAATTTTCGAGCTTTGTCTATGGCTAACAACCCTCGTTGTTGTTGCTTGTTGCTGCTGCTGTTGACGTAGATTATAATCAAATGTATTTTGTTCCGTTCTGTGAATAATTTTCCTTGCTTTTTTTTCTGTTATTTCTGGCATACCTGCTAATACCCAAGTACCAGGGTATAATGTCTCTAATGAAATGTATTTTAAATATCCACAAACTGCAGCCCTTTTAAGGGTACAAATGATCTATCTATATCTTTCTGTGCAACGAAATTGTCTGTATCCCACAACGAGAATTAAGTTTTTGCCTAGAACTTGTTGCTTTCAAAAACCCCATTGAGTTTGGATCATTTTTAGAGGCAAACCAAACAAAATTTGGCTCTTGGAACACCTGGCCTTCGCACACCTATTAATGGGAGAGCAATGCGCTTTTCGTAGCATACTTTTAGGACTCAAATCAAATTTACGATCTTAAAAAATCTTAAACAAAATCCTGAAACAGGATTTATCCTTATTACAATTTTTTTTGTAACCAAACTGAAAAAATTATTTTTAAATCAAATTCTTAATTATAAAAATTAAAAAAAAATAATTACTTATTTGATGTCTAATAAAAATTAATTAAAATTATGACAAAAAAGTATTCCTCGCTCTAAGCCTAGTACAGGGTATCTGGCTTAGAGATTTTTCCCTTTAGATAATTTCCCTAGGAATGAGATTTTTTTTTTTTTTTTTTAGTAGAATTTTTCATTTTCCCCCTGCCTGTTTTTTCGCTTTGTTTTTTTGGTATTTTCTGTTGCGTGCCTTTGGGCGCTATGAATATGTCGTCCTCTGGCTAGCTATCCCTGGGTCTCCATGGCTCTCCCTGGGTCTCCCTGGCTTTATTATATTAATAGCAATTACTCATAATTACTCGCTCTCTGTTTTTTTACGCGCCTCCCCCTGCCTCCTCTGTCTCCTTTCCCTGCAATTAACTTGATTACAACAACAGTGACAGCATTCTCTGTGTCTATGTGTCTCTGCGTCTCTGTGTCTCTGCGTCTATGTGTCTGTGTCTGCACTGCAATGACCCATGAAAAGGGGTCTGCTGGCCACGCCTGACCACGCTGGAGGGGTGCGGCCGTGCGGCAGTGAAAGGTTAGCCCGAGAGCACATGCTTATAAATCACAGAAGCTCCTTAAGCTGCTCCTACTGGTGTGGCTCTGGCTCTGGCACAGAGTTTTTCCTTTCGTTTTTCACTCAAATTCAGTTAACTGCCTTGAGGGGCTCTTTCGCTATCTCCGTCTCCGTCTCCATCTCCATCTCCATCTCCATCTGGGGGCTCCCCTGCAAGTGAGGATATTATTTTTCGCTTTTCAGGGGCTCTTCTGCCACTGATAATAGAACATTTGGCCGCAAGACAAATTGTGTGCCTCCGCACACACCCACATACACCCACACACCCACACACAGGCACACAGACAGTCGTGGGTAATGTGAGAGGAGAGTGCTCTCTCTTGCGCCCTCCCCGTCTTTCCCTCCCGGCGACAATCATCATCAGTGTCAGCAACAGGAGGCGGATTCCTGGCTGTTCCTGGCTGTTCCTGGCTGTTCCTGGGCTGCCTTTTGATTCCGCGTTATCCCACAGCCGCAACGAACCCCATCGCATCTTCAATGTTTTTTCCGCTGTAATTGAAAAGCGCCGAAAAGCCAGCTACAAGTGGCGTGTGGCGTGTGGCAGAGGCTGGGGCTGAGGATAGATGAGGGAGGGGCCAAGGCTCTTCCACTCTTCCACTCTTCCACTCGCTCGCTGATTGACAACATATTCAAAAGCCAAATCATCGACTAATGCTAGTGCTAACGAGAGGGAGACATCCTTGCTGCTGGCAGACAGCAGCCGGGCGGCGGGCGGCGGTTGGCGGCATGTGCGAAAATTAATTAACAAAATTGCGTTTTAAAAATGAGAGACGCGAGGCGTCGCGAACGAAAGAAAGAAAGAAAAGGTTGCAATTACCGTTAATGAGTTTAATGCCAAAGGCGGGCGCCAAACGCATCTCCAGCCAGCTATCCTTTACGGCCCAGGCCGGGACATCCCCATCGCCCCCCGCCCCCTTCCCGCTAATGAGGAGGTTTGCAGAAGTTTCTCTGGGATACCCTTTTGCAGGGCGGCTACCTTGATTCTCACGGAAGGACTGGCCAACCCAAAGGACACGTAGATATAGGGGTGGCAGGGGCCTAGAGTATCTGAAGTTTCCTTTATCTTTTTTCAAGACTTTTTCGTCAGTTTTTATTAAGAAAATATTTTACTTTCCTTTGCACTTGACTTCACTTTGAAGGGTGGAGTGGGGGGAGTGGGGTCAAGAGGGCACGCAACAAGTCAGGACGGGGGGACCTTTGACGTGGCCTCAGAAATTACCCTTTTTACGTGGCACATTAATTTCGAGCTGGTTCACTGGGCAGTCCTTTCTCCTGCTGCCGCTGCCGCTGCCGCTGCTGTCAGGACCTTTTTCCACATTTGACCAGTTCATTGAAGCGATTTTGAGGCAAGCAGCAACTGAACTATTGCCATGGCTGCCCCCTGAATGTGCCACAAATGGCTCTAATGACTCTTTGACTCCTATCCAATCGATTCGTAATAGTATCTGTCGGATTGCTTCACTGATATTCTCACTTTTTCACTCTCTGTGGCAGTCTCTGGTCTCTGCTTCTTTGTTTTATTTGATTCGATTGGTAATTGGAAGCCAATTAGTGGCCAAGTGTTAAATTAATTACCTAATGGCTGTCAGGGTTTGCTTATTGAACTCTTAAATAAAATGCATATGCATCTCTCTCTGGCTATAAAAGATAGAAAGATACTCTTCGATGGATGTTTGTTGACTTAATTATATTTGCTGAGAGAGGGAGGGAGGGAGGGAGAGAGAGGGAGAGAGAGAGAGGGGTAATCAGAGCCCTGGAGTAGGTTGCCAGAGTCAAGGGCTGGACAAATACCACAGATGCAGGGCCGAGGTCCGAGGTCTCTGACAATGGCAAAGCAAATATTAAACTGCCCAGACACGTAAGGACTGCCAGGACTCGGTGTGTGTGGTCAAAGCCAGACTCCAGGATCATCTTAGGAGGAGCCTCCGTTTGGTAAACTTAAATATTTTATGGCAGCAGAGCGGCAGAGCAGCCAGGTAAGTGCCAGTCGCATAGAAATAAAATTGCATACTTTACGGCGCCGGATGCGGCAAACACTACCCACACGACGAGGAGGAGGAGGAGGAGTCACCCAACCCAACCACCCAAGAAGGAGTCCTGTCTGGTCCTGTCTGGCTGTCGTTGAAGCTACAATTCGATGAAATTTATTTACAGTTAAAAAACGTAGACAAGTGCCAAAGGAAAATAGGATACCCAGACACGACTCCGGTGCCGTTGCCGCTGCCGCTACGTGTGCGTGCCACACTCTACCCGCTCTGTGTGGCAGGTTTATTTAAAATTCAATTATGGCACACAATTGTTGCTGCCTCCCACCGTCCGTCGCAAATGCCAAATGAAGTGAGATTTTTTTATGAACCCAGGGATCCCACTCCACTCTATAAAAAAGGGTCCTGCGAGATGGGTTTTCTTTCTCGTGACAAATTGGAATTGAATTGAAATTTCTGTGTGTGTGTGTGTGTGTGTGTGTGTGCTATAAAACGCTTACCAAATAGTTCAGCTTATATATAAATTGTTCATCGATCCTTACCTGCAAATAAAATGGAAACGAAAGAAATCGGTTAGACATTTTATTGCGGTTCTCAATGCCACGGAAACGGGGCTTAGATCTCTAGACATTTCGACAATAGACAATGGAATTACGTTTACAAGTACAACAATCTCTGGGGGAATATCTAGAGAGGCACACACATATCAAATCTCATACGACAATTACTAATTAGAGAGAGAGAGAGAGACAGACAGAGAGAGAGGGAGGTATACACAAACAAAATATAATAAAAATAAATCTAGACAAAATATTTATAATTGTAATAAAAATCATTTAATGAGCAATATAATTATTCTATGATATAGATTTACATTTTGAAAATCTTTTAATGATGGCAGGAAATTGCCTGCCCTCCCCACCCCTCCCCCCCCCAATGGCATATCACTTTTCAAGGTCCTGGGTCCTCGGTCCTCGGTCCTCAATTTGCCAATCTAATTATAAATTGAATGTCGCTAGAAATGGCGTCGGGGTTTCTGATAATTTTTAATAATTCCCCAGTGCCACGGTAGCCCTGTATCCTGTATCAACAGGAGCCCTCGTTCTCCTTCATTATTGTCTGTCATTGTGACACCCGAAATCTTGTCAAAGAAATCTCAATTATCAGCTTTATTGATTTGCATAGCAAGCGGAAAACCAGTGAGAAAAGCAGAGAGAAAAGCAGGGAAAACAACAACAACAACAGAAAATGGTAAACAAGCCTCCGCACAGCTCCATTCTCCATTTCTGTCCGGCTTTTGCACGCTTTCCGTTTCTTTCGGGCGGACAGAGAGAAAAATGTTCATGAAAAACAATTACGATAAAAATGTGGGTCTCCGTTTCTGTTCTCCCCTCCCCTCCCCACCCTCCCACCAGCCTCTTGGGTTAGGTAACGGCAACCTGCCCAAGCGACAAGCTTCGAGCACGGATAAAAGCAAATTATGATAACAATAAAGATTTAACTAGAGAGAGAGAGAGTGGAGAGTGGAGAGTGGAGGGTGGAGAGTGGTGGGGCATGGATAGACCGTCAAGTGGCATTGCCATTGACATCCCATCCCCTGTGCCGCATTGGAATCGTCGATACAAAGGACACGGCAGACGGCAGACGGCAGACGCAGGGTATCTGCCGCCGAAGCATGGGACAATTTAAATAGACATTTATCTTGTGGCAACGACACAGCGCAGGTTGCGGCGCACACATACACGTGCCGTGCCGTTGGTGCCTATAACAAAATTACAGGAGACTGCGACGGCGGGCCTGATCCATGACGATGATGACCCCCGACCCCCGACCACCGACCCCCGACCCCCACGCAGCATTTCGCTGACATTGATGATGTGGATCAGGAGAGAGCGGGAGGGGGTGGCAGAGAGGGTGGAACAGAGAGTGGGTTTGTTCTTGCTTCATCTTTTTTTTTTTTTTTTGTTTGATTTTATTTATGCAACAACAACACAGCCGCAAGATTTCTTTGCCTATTTTCTACTTTCCCTTTTTTTTTTGTTCTGTTTTGTTTTCCTTTCTCCCTCTCCTTCGAGCTTCTTCTTCGTTCATTATTTTCTTTATAATTTTTGGCTTGGCAAATGTTTTTCAAAGCATAAAAATACTTTTACATTAACTTGTTCTAACAACACACAACGCACTGTGCCACAAAAAGTTGCACAACATTTTCGGGGTTTGCTTTTAACGCTCAACGACTTTGCGTTGGGCAGTGGAGGGGGTGGAGGGGGTGGAGGAAAGAACAACAACAAGTTATGGAAAAGTGTCTGCCAGTGTGCGAGTGTGTGCTTTTCTTTGGGGTTTTGGCAAGAAAGAAAGTTCCTTGCACTCCTCCACACCCACACACCCTCTCTATATCCCTCTCTCCCTCTCTCTCTTTGGTGGGTCCTTGGCTATATCAACATAATTTGCGTTAAGTGGTGTTCGAGAAAGCAATGCGCCGAAAAAAAAAAATAGAAGAAACTTGGAACATTTACGATTTGCTTAATGCGTTTGCCTATCTATCACCCCCCCTCACAGCACCCTCCTCACAGCACCCCCCCTTCTAGCTAGCTGCCTATTAAACTGCCATAAAGGCCATGTCTGGCTGGCTGGCTGCCTGCCAAGTGGCAGCAACAGTTAACCAGTTTTCCCGCCACAGATACACCGAAAGAGCGGGGGTCCCCACCGATTTTGGTATTGGCCTAATTGGCTGCCTGTTGTTGGCTGTTGTCTGGCCCTGGGGCACCGACCAACAAAAAAAATCTGTTGCATGTCCCCTTAATAACATTTTTGCAGATAAGTCTATATGTTCGCCCGTTTGTGCACCACGTGCCTTGGATTCTTGTGTTCCCTTTTGTCTAGGACTCCTCCACCTCCTCCTTGGCTTTAGATTTTGGCCATATCGATAGCAAAAGCACAAAAAACAGAAAAAAAAAATCCTATACGTATTGCATATTTGCTTTTGGGTTTTTCTACATTTTTATGGCTGCTGGGCAAAATTTATGATTTCCCTTTATTTTCTTTTGTTCAGAAAAAGGATGTGCTACCTGGAAGGGGGCCAGGACCTGCCATTGTGTGTGCTTTAAGCGCCTTTAAAATTTACATGAATATCAAATCAGAAGGCGGCAGCAACTCCAGCAGCAGTTTATGGCAATTAAAACAAATTAACCGAGCGACAGGCACAACACAACAACAAAGGACCGCTCCCCCCCCCTCTCCTGCAGAGGAGGGGTATCAAAGTTCAAAAGCCGCCTGGGCCTAGGCCTGGGCCTGGGCCTAAGCATAAAGTTGGCTAAACAGCAGCCAGATGGATGGATGGCTGCTGCCGTTGATGAGTCGCCTAATGAACTTGTGTTTCCCATAGAGAGAGGACGAGACGAGCAGCGGGCAAATACAAGGCACAGACAGAGTGGCAGAGAATTGATTTGCATAGCAACCAGGACTCCCCACCCCCCGCCCAGCCACCCCGCTAAGCAGTTAAACTATTTAAGGCATACAAAAGCAACAATTGGAGGAGGAGGAGGAGGAGGAGGGTGGTGGTGTGGCATCTATGGCAACTACAATTCTGGGGGGCAAACGCCGCAGGCTGAAGTGTCAAAGACTTTGGGCAGCTGCAGAGCCAACACAAATGTTGACAGGCTAATGAAATGCGAGGAGGTTCTGGGTCCAAAATTGATACACTCCCGAGACGGAGAGCAGAGAGCAGAGTAGTCCCCGGCGACCAGTGTGGCAGGGGACTCTCGGCTATGCAAATCGAAATTATAATGAAATCAACCATAAGAGAGAGCCCCGGCCAAATTGATTGATGGCACAGTTTCTGGTTCCGAATGTCTCAATATTCCATATCCAACATTTATGGCCTTGATCGAGAGCCCAGAAACAATTTGCCAGCTAATTTGTGGACCCCAAAACAGATACACTATCCGTATTCGTCGCCCAAGTGGTAAATCACTTCAAGCAAGGAACCACAGGAACAAAAAACCGAAAGAAAAAAAACAGATGGCAAAGATGTTTATCTACGAGGGGGCGTTTCCCCCCCCCCCCCCCCATCCTGGGGGCAACGATTTGCTATGCAATTTTACACACTTGACCATTAAACGTGGCCATTGGGAGCAGTTTGCATAGCAATGAAGCCAAAAGGCGCACAGCACAAGGAGACCAGAAAAGCTGTATTCCGAATGCTGCTGAATGCTGAATGGAGGAGCCATAGAACCATAGTCCGGGGTTCAACTTGATGAAGTATGAATGATTACAGAGACAGAGAAAGAGAAAGAGAAAGAGAGAGACCTAGAGAGAGATGATGGCCCGAGCTAACCGCATTGAGGAGGTGTGTCTAGTTGACTGTAAAAACTTCAATGAATAAATTTTTCGAAGCTCTCCTTATTTCTCTCTCTCTGTCTGTAAAGGGCATAAATACAAGTCCAGTCACATATACATATCTGATGGATGGAATGGGGCAGATGCCGGCCTACTGCAAGGGCAGCAAGTAAATTGATCGAAATGAGAATACTCATAAATTTGCATAGCCACAAAAAGTAGGGAATTTATGGCCCGGGCTGATCGGAACTGAAACAATTTTGGGATAGAAAAAAAAAATGTAAATAAATAAAAGGTGCACGTCATAAATTGAGAGTCAGGGGTATGGCCATTTAACCCATTAAAGTCCTAAGAAATTAAATAAAGAAAGACCCCTGGCACTGTCCCGCCCTGCCCCCCTGCTGACACTTGACGATTTGTCATGTTGACACAATAAAACGTCAGAGAACGTCGACTGAAAAGTCCAAGAAAAAAGCAGCAGGAGGAGGCGGAGGGGGAGGAGGAGGCGGAGGAGGAGGAGCAGCAGGAAGCTTCGTAGGAGATTCCCTGGAATTATGACAAACTGTCTCGAAAATGCTGCTGGAAAATACTGTTAACGTTTTTGAGGCAGGAGAACCTGGACAAAAGGACACAGAGAGCGTGGAGTGAACTCGGGCCAAAGGTTTTTTTTCGTCGAGTGACGAAACGAATGAATAAAGGAGCAAACGGAACGTGGCACGAACGTATGAGGCAAATGTCTGTTGATGAAAATGATGAAACAGCAAGAAAATATGCCAGGAGGGGGGCCGGGGGCCGGGGGCAGGGGGCAGGTCCTTGCAAATACAATGAACTTGACTTGAAAGTGGCGCCCGGGCGTCCTGGGCGTCCTTCTCTCTGGCCTGATGTCTGCATTTATGAGCATAAAAAATTGGCACCGCATTTACACAGACAATCAAGAGCAGTCCTTGGCTTTTCCGCAGTCGGTCAGGGGGAGGGGAAAATCGCTTAAAAGGCAAAAAGGCGACAATGGCTTTTGGCATTTTTTTTGTTTTCTATTTTCCTGCTGGAAATTGCACAACTCATCAAAAGTCTGCGTCTCTCCGGCATTTGCATTTAGCGGAAAATTCCATGTTGATTCCCCCGACAAAAAGGTGACAATTGTTGGGGCCTGCATTTAATCAAGAGCCGGTGCCTGCCTGCCTCATCAGAGTGTTGCCACAAATTAGTG